CGGTTCCTGCATAGTGGTGCGAAGAAATTCACGTGCATCTCCGTCCTCTTCCCACTTGAAGCCGCGTCTGACACAGAAGGAGTTTCTATTTTTTTCCGAGCTGACACCTGACCATGTATGTTCGGCGATGCAACAGCAAAGCTTCCCAGTAATGGACTCGATTCATTCAACCTCTTTCTTTGTGCCATTCATTCCTTCGCTTCCTCACTTCTCTTTCTTCCAGCTTCCCTTTCATTCATCATTCACTCATTGAGTCCTTAACTCTATCATTCATTCATTCATTCATTCATTCATTGATTCATTCATTCATTCATCCATCCATCCATTCATTCATTCATTCATTCATTGATTCATTCATTCATTCTTTCTTTCTTTCATTCATTCATTCATTCATGCATTAATTCATTGATTCATTGATTCATTCATTCAATCATTCGTTCATTCAGTCGTTCGTTCGTTCGTTCATTCGTTCGCTGGTTCATTCAGTCATGCCTTCATTCGTTCATTCACTCATTCGTTCATTCATTCAGTGAATCATTCAATCAATCATTCAACCATTCAATCGTTCAGTCATGCAGTCATGCAGTCATTCATTCGTGCATTCATTCGTTTATGCGTTCGTTCGTTCATTCACGCATTTATGCAGCCATTCTTTCATTCAATCGTTCATTCAATCATGCAATCATTCCATTCATTCAGGTTTTCTTTCGTTGAGAGCCTTATTTTGAAATTCTTTCAGCTCATCACAAACTCCTATAGGCTTTCTCCTTCCTATAGTCACCGCCTTTTTTCGAAACTTCCGCCCCGGCGCATGCCGAGCAGTACCATTACATGGTGCATACAATCACTCGTGTCGGGCTGGAAGGTTTGTTTTTCCATTTTTGCGATGTGAGCATTAGCTCCACTCAAGGCTGGAGTTCCCAAAGACCGAGCTTTCATTGTACTGCCAAGAACTTGGAAAAGCAGGACCGACATGACTGCGGACCCATTTGCAAAACACTTGACATTAGACAAATGGTTGGAACATGTTGGATAGCAATTTTGATCATCAGGCAGGCAGATGCGGTAGAGATGCAATTTGTGTTGAACGGTTCTGCGAACTGAGCCTCTAAAGTACAAAATGGATCAAAATTGTGCCGTGGTGGGGGTATTTCAACTTCATGGTCCACTTTTGCTGCAGAGCACCCAAGCTCTTTGAGCACGGGGGAACGTCTTGATAGGTGAGCTTGTGACAGCTAGTGCGCATTGAAGGTGCTAGTGATTGCCTATAGGGCAAGAGCATGCAAGAGCAAAAAGAAACGGTCTCGGGCAAAGTTTATATATTATATACCTACAACCTCCGGATGTGCACAATCGCTCGAAGTTGAAATTGCTGTTTTTTTCCGTTGCGCCAAGAAAACTTGATTTCTTTATCCTCCTTGGAAAAATCTCTATAAAATAGATCACCTGGGGGTACGATTCTATAGAGATGAGGCTGGTAGGCTAGTGTTTACTATAGAATGGTACCTGGATTGCGCCCATCCAGTTTACATACCCAAAAGTGACACCAAACTTGAGGCATTGCAAACCCAGTTTTCTATTCTAAAGGGGGTCTTTTTCCTAATCACTTGGACTCAGATGTTCATTTTATAGTGGATTGTTTGTTAGATTTTGTTACAAGCAGTGGCCAGTATGATTAGCCTCATACTGGCCACCGCTTCAAACAAATAATCCACTATAGAATGACAAACTGGGTCCCAGTGATTAGGAAACATGCCCCCTACAGAATAGAACCCGCTATTTCCAAGGCCCAAAATGTGGTTCACGTTTGGGCTAGCACCTTTCAAAAATCCTTGGGAACCATTTTTAGAAGAGTGGTTGGATCTCCATTTTAAAGGAGCAGCCCTGCACAAAACTGATTCGTTAACAGTGTTGACCACTTATTCGTTTACAATATGCTTCATTATGTTTCAATATTTTACAGTATTATTGCCCACTGACACCCCCCCTTCCACTCCTATAAAATGAAAACCCAGCCTCATACCCACCGCTTCAAACAAATAATCCACTATAGAATGAAAACCTGAGTCCAAGTGATTAGGTGCCCCCTATAAAAAAAGAAACCGGTATTTCCAAGGCCCAAAATGTGGTTCACATTTGGGCTGGCACCTTTCAAGCAAAAAAATCTTGGGGACCATTTTTAGAAGAGTGGTTGGATCTCCATTTTAAAGGAGCAGCCCTGCACAAAACTGATTCGTGAACAGTGTTGATTACTTATTCGTTTGCAGTATGTGTCAATTATTTTACAGTATCATGCAGTATTTACAATATTATTGCCCACCGACACCTCCCCTTCCACTCCTATAAATTGAAAACCCAGCCGCATACTGGCCACCGCTTCTAACAAATAATCCACTATAGAATGAAAAACTGGGTCCCAGTGATTAGGAAACATGCCCCTACAGAATAGAACCCGCTATTTCTAAGGCCCAAAATGTGGTTCACGTTTGGGCTGGCACCTTTCAAGCAAAAAAATCCTTGGGGACCATTTTTAGAAGAGTGGTTGGATCTCCATTTTAAAGGAGCAGCCCTGCACAAAACTGATTCGTTAACAGTGTTGACCACTTATTCGTTTGCAGTATGTGTCAATATTTTACAGTATCATACAGTATTTACAATATTATTGCCCACTGACACCTCCCCTGCCACTCCTATAAAATGAAAACCCAGCCTCATACCCACCGCTTCTAACAAATAATCCACTATAGAATGAAAACCTGAGTCCAAGTGATTATAAAATGGAAATCCAACCCCCTTCTATAAAATAGTCACCAAGTAGATTCTTTTGTGGAATGGTGCCAGCCCAGATCCAAAAAGTGAAACCAAACTTAAGGCATTGCAAACCCAGTTTTCTATTCTATAGGGGGTCTTTTTCCTAATCACTTGGACTCAGGTTTTCATTTTATAGTGGATTATCTGTTAGAAGCAGTGGCCAGTATGATGCTGGGTTTTTCATATTCTATCAGGATGGGGTAGGCATGGGGGGGCTTTGTGGGTATCTTCCTCTTGTGGGTTGAAGATTCTATTCTGCGTGGAGGCGAGACAAATCTGCACCCCCCCTTCGGACGTTTCCTCGGGTTTGCAGAGCTTTTAAGAAAGGTCCCTATAGAATGGAACCCCCAGGTTTGGTTCGAATTCCAACAGGGATCTTTTTATTATCAAGGGTTTAAATTTATTATTAGGGTCCGCTTTGGTTTCCTAAAAATCTAATACCACCCTAATAATGAAAACTGCCTGATGTGTTTATTATTTGGGGGGTATTGGGGGAACGGATTATTTTTCGACCATCCGGAGCCCCAAAACATTGGAAAAACAATGCGTTTCGCGACTTTTCTACATTTTCGCGCACTTGCATCTTCTTTCTTCTTCTTTCTTCCTTCTTCGTTCTTCTTTTCCCTTTCTTCTCTTCTCTCTGCTTCTCTCCTCTCCTCTCCTC